AGCTCTTTTGAAAAATGGAGAGAACAGTCATCCTTTATTATCCATGGATGTTCAAATCACGTTTAAAATGGTATAGTGTTTGTATATCATCCTCCTGTGTACATCCTCCTGTGTACCTTATATCCTCTCTAGATGACCTGCAATGCCTACTACAATGAAAATGCTATGTAAAATGTTGCTATACCATATTATTTAGGAAAGAGTTGACAAGAAAAAAAAATGCCTGTACATGTTCAGTACAGATGTATTTTTACCACATATTTTCTATTTGAGGTTGGTTGAATCCATGGATACAGAACTTGAAGATACAAATGTATTTCCCCACTCTAAAATATTTTTACTACCTTAAAATGTAGGGGGTTTGGTTTTTGATATGATTTAATTTGAGTTTTTAAGAGAGAGGGGGGTCTCCCCACATAGCTCAGGTTGGCCTCAACTTGATCCTGCTACATCAGCCTCCCTTGTACTAGATTACAGGTGTGTACCACAGCACAGAATTTACATCTGGCAACTCTTGAGATCCAATGAGCTGTAGAAAAAGGAGCCTAGAAGAATGATAAAGAAAGCATAGTCTGGTCCACTGCAGCCAAACCAGTTCCCAAGCAGGGACCATTTTTTTTCCAAGCTCCTTTTCCTCCTGAGATTGATTCTTTCTGCACCCTCGCTTTTTTGATCTCTTGGGATTCTCTCAAGAAATTAATCACAAGAGAATATTAACTAAGACCTTTTCAGGGCATCCACATGGAGAAAGTTGAAAACTGTTATAACACCAGTGCTTGGTCCTTTAACGCCTTTCCCCCCAAACCACATTCCTCCATCCTTATAGAGGCTGTAATTGTATTTTGTGCATTCACTGTTTGGCTAATTTTCTCTCTGCTAAGTCTCATGGGAAGCTGAAGTGAAATAAGGAAGCCCATGATGCTGGTCTGCCTACACAAACAGCAAGGCTGGAGAAAAGGGGCCAGTAATCAGAATCAACCAATTTAATGCCTGACTTGTTTATCCTACAGAAAACATCACCTGATGAGGCTTCCATTGATCCCTTCAGAGTAGAACATCATTATTCTAGGCTTTTGCAGACTGTAAAAATAAACAGTTTACCAACAAAGCAAAGAATTAAAGGGGAAAAACAACTCCAAGAAAGCCTGGGTTCTTTTATGCCTACGGTCATGGCTGCCGCAGGTATTGGTATGAAAAGAACAGTAAGTGCCAAGTCAAAGAAAGGGCTGAGACCAAGGGTAAGGACATGCAAGCACAAGAGAGAATCAGAAGCAATTGCACTTCACCATGGAGCACAAAGACTGGCAGAATTGATGATAAGCAGTTTGAGATTTCTTCTTCAGGGATCAACTAATAAATCCTCCTCACTCCATCTCTAAGAGGGCAGTTGTTGGTGAATGGGCTGTATAGATGTCAGAATGATCCAGACAACCTCAAGGGGCCTATTCTGGGTTTACAAATTGGAACTACTGAATTCCTATCATGAGACTATCAGTTAAAGCCATAACATCACATCACAAAAGGTTCCCTCCTACAAAAGGAGTAAGAAGAGGAGACATGTATTAATAGTACACATTCAGCTCTTCTTTCTCCTTTAGTTCTCACTACATTCAATAATAAAGGTGTTATTGTGCCTAACTTTCAGAAAGGGTAATGAATAAAGAATGGATTTCAGCAATCTGTCTATATTCACTCAGTAAGCATGCTTCCGATTGGAATTCAACAGAGTTCTGACTCCAAATCATAATCTTCATGTCACATTCTCTTCAAACAATGAAGAAGAATCTTGAGCTCTAAAAGTGCCAAAGAATGGGGCAGAAGGTGGAGGAGCACTTTTTAACTTCATGTAATTGGGTGTGGAAGTGTTCTTAAAAGCAACGGTTAGGTCACTCTGGAGTAATTGGAAGATATGAGCTCCACCTAGCACAATCCATGAGGACGATGACTTGTGTTAGTAGCTAATAAAGAAGAACAATGAGATACATCCTCTGTCTTCTGTCAAAAAATATGTATTGTTGAAGATATTACATACGTGAGCTGTAGAACAAACAAGAAGAAATCAGGCTGGTGCTGAGTTCAAAGCTTTATCTCTATTGGTTAGCTTTCACAGTGCTGGAAAGTAATATACAAGCCACTGGAAAAGAAAATTAATCACCAGGCTTACCTAGCTGTGAATCCTGTGAGCTACAACTGGCCTGCCAAGATATCCCCATTGGTGCAATAGTGGTACAAATATTATGGGAGTAACCAACCACTTTCTAATTGGATTCAAATTGTGCTTCATAAAATGGAGCTCATATCTGACACTGATATTGGGCTTAGGAACCTGTGGCTAGACAGGTCACAGGTCATAGAGAAGAACTTAATACTATTATTCTGTTAAATAGATATAGCATTAAACTGATTCCTAATGACTTATTGCTATACCCATAGATTAATGCATCTCTCCACTCTCACCAGAGGAGCCTCCACACAGCAGGGGGTGATTTAACACAGAAACCCACAGTCTCTTATGCAGAGAATAAAAGACTACAGGTTGTTCATCCCTGAGCAGGACACCTATATCAAACTTCTGCCTCCCAAAGCTCAGGGATCATTGAGAAAGAGGAGGTGGAAAGATTCTAAGAGCCAAAGGTGATCGATGACCACAGGGAAACAGTTTTCCAGACAGTTGGGCAGTCCCTCATATGAACTCACAGCAATATTGAAAGCCTGCACAAGTCCCAAATAAGCTCAAGCCAGGAAAAATCCCTGCATGGAAGTGAGGAAATGGATAAGAAAACCCAGTCCTACTTGAGAAACTATTAGAAAGTGATGGCTGCCAGAGGGAGGGAGAATCAGTCTCATTCAAGGGTGTGACTCTTGGTAAGTTAACCTGGTTCCAGTGGATGGACAAAATCCAAAGGGCATTTGGGGACATAAGTTTGACTCTATAGGCTTTAGTTTATACACACACACACACACACACACACACGTGTGTGTGTGTGTGTAAATGAAATTGGGTAGGGGTAGTAAAGGGGTGCAGATAGAGGAGGAGATCTAAATATGCTTAAAATATATTGTATGAAATTTGCAAAAAAATCCAATTAAAAAATATGGGTCTCACATAGATGGGATAGCTAGATGATCTCCAGGTCTACCCCTTACTAAGGAGCTACTGGCAGTGGATAGGTGCTGAGAGAGAGAGAATCATTCTTGTTTTGAGGATGTGGCCACTGGTAGGTTATCCATACTCTAATGCATGGCCCCATACCCACATGCATATGGACAACACTAACTAGACTTAGTGGATCATTTGTTTTAATGACATGAAGTTAGGAGGGGGCATGTTGGGAGGGATATGGGAGAAGTTGGAGGGGGAAAGTGAAGGTTACAAATGATCATAGTTTAATGTATGCATGTATGAAATTCTCAAAAATAGCAATTTTAAAAAGAAAAAGTGAACTTATTAAGGAAACATCCTGCTTGCTGACCAATAGTTTGTGTGTGTGTGTGTGTGTGTGTGTGTGTATGTGTGTGTGTGTGTGTGTGTGTGTATTAGAGACCTGGGCCAGAGGCATGAAATAATCAATAGATGGTCCCATTTCACATTTGCCTGGGAACCTATGCCAACCAACATCATTGATGAGAAGGAGAATGTATTCAAAGTTATTTTCTGGCTCTCCAAACTGACCTGTAAGTCTCCACAAGAATAAGAATAACCCTGAAGATAAGGCAGGGTAAACAGGCCATGATTTCACATGGCAGTTTTGATTGTGCAGCTCTGACTTTTCTAGATGTCTCATCCTACAACATTTGGTGGTCTAAAATGGCCTTCTCCTTCACTTCTTCATTGGCACTGGGGTTGCAGATTTGTTCAATGAACTATTTCATATTCTTCCCCTTGCCATCTGGCAGTATTAGCTCTCTAATAAAGTACTTCAATTTGTGCATTTTTTGACAAATCTGACTTTTAGTTGAATCATGCAGCATTCATAAATAGCAAGTGCTAGCTGATTAAAATCAATGAATGCCTTTAGTGTTGCCAGCAAAAATAGGACCTTAGCTGCACATGTAATTCAGTCTAATCATTTGAAAGGCACCTGATTATTTTTAGGAAGATGTTTTTACATATACATTCTTATGTCATCTGTTATATGTGCATGTATTCATTTCTATTTGGATGGATTCCTGCAAATCAGTCACACTTTGAATATAAGTGTTGCATACACTTGGATTTGGAGCTAGACACACTTGTGTTTGAATTCTATCTTTGCTAATTATAAGCTGTGTGAACTTGGGTACATTTCTTTATTTTCATGTGTATGAGTGTCTTGCTTACATGCATGTAAATGAACCCACATCGTGCAATGCTTGAGGAGGTCAGAAGAGGGTTTCAAATCCCCTGGAACTGGAATTAGAGGGTTGTTAGTGGTCATGTGGGTGCTGGGAACTTAACCTGGGCCATCTGCAAAACAGTGCTCTTAATCACTAAGCCATCTCTCCAGCCCCCTTGGATACATTTCTTAACTTGTTTCTCCGGTTTTTTAAATAAACATTTTATTTATTATTTTTATTTTATGTGCGTGTGTGTATTTCCTGCATGTAGGTAAGTGCACCCATGTCTTTCAATAGAAGACAGAAGAGGCTGTCAGATTCCCTGGAACGGGAGTTACAGACAGTTGTTAGCTGCCATGTGGGTGCTGAGATTCGAACCTGGGTCTTCTGCAACAACAACCAGTATTCTTAACTGCTGAGCCATCTCTCCAGCCCTGTTTCTCAGTTTTTAAAATTAAAATAGATATAATAAATTATTTGTACATATTTTTACCTTTTGAAGAACTCTAAGCATAAAATCAAAATAGTCACATATGTATCAAAATAGTATGTGTGGAGATCATGTTTGTATGGAGGAAAAGATAGAATCAAAAAGGAACCATCAACATTTCTTGTCTTAAAAAACTAGGTCATTTGATCAATTTCCAAACCCAAACACGAGCAGAGAGACTCTGGCTCTTTACCTGGTGTTGCGCTGGATACTGTTGGCCACTGCTGATCAGGCCCTCCTGGGCCAGCCCGTAGAATTCCAGCCTCCTCCAGGTGCACAGAGCTGAGTAAACAGACAGACCCAGATAACAGTTAGAGCATAAATGTTTTTCCAACTCTCCTTCCATCCTAAAAATTACTTCCATTTTGAAGGGAGGGCCACAGCAGGTATGTTCTGCTCATGCTTGAACTGCAACAATTACTGCTGAGCAGTCACCTTGCATAAACTTCAAAACCATTGCTGACTTACTGCCTGCTGTATCACCCTGGTTATAAACATGTTCTATATGGCAATTTTTGTTCTTGTTAATACCATGTGGTTCCCACTAAATCTAACAAAAGACCCACCAGAGGACAAATGCCATTTTAATATCTTGATGCTAATGAGGAGAGATTTTCTCAAAATTCCCAACCCTGTCTTGCAAGTTCTCTCGTAAAGAGAAAAATATACTAACAGTATTGTAGTATTATCGATAGTAATAGCAGTTTGGCTACCCAATTCATTCTTATGTTTGAGACACTTTGTGTGTGTGTGTGTGTGTGTGTGTGTGTGTGTACATATCTGTGTGTCTGTGTTGTGTGTGTATATGCTGTGTGTGCGTCTGTGTTGTGTGTGTGTGTGTGTGTGTGTGTGTGTGTGTGTGTTATTGGGGATTGAACCCAGGGCCTCATGCAGGCTTGCCAAACCTGTAACCACTGAGTTACAGTCCCAACCCTTTCTAATTTATTTTAAGAAAGAATATAACTAGGCTGCCCAGGCTAGTTTTGAGGTTGCTATCTTTCTGTATCTGCCTCCACATAGCTAGGATTACAGGCATCCGCTACCATATCCAGGCTTGATTAATTATTTCTTTTGAAAGGAAAATTTATTTGGTATACTGCAAGGGGCAGCAGGATGGACAGTCAGTAACAGAGGTATTGTCTGCAGTCAGCCTTGATTAATTCTTAGCCTTGCTTCTGTTTTACTTTTTTTGTGTTCTTTATGCCTAGATGACCTACCCAACATATGCTGAGACAAGGGGACCCAATCACAGTCATTCATAGATCCACATTCGGAAGAGATTAATTCAGGATGAAACACTGTTGGGACGTAGAGGCTGGCATGGAAATAACATAAACTCTTCAAGGGCAGGAAGAACACTGTATTCATTTGTGTTTGTCTATAGTTAGAGCATATGAAAGTTGAAAATACGTGCAGATGGATGAAGGAAGGAAAAACAGAATCCTGACTCAGTATCCAAGAAATCATCCAAAGTTAGAGGATGTTTTTAAACTAGACAGTTTCTTATCCTGAAATTAAATTACTAGAATAAAACTTGGACTACTAACTGAATGAGTTACTTGAGGCAATAGATCAAGCAAACTTAACTCTTATAGGGTAAGGCAATCTACAGGTTCAACAGTCCCTTGTTCTTTGACTTCAAACAGCATATCTAATAGAAATTCATTCATTAAGCTCTGATTTATTACTTTTATCCCTAATCTTTGGCCTAGAATTTTCTATTTTTTAACAAATATTAATGTCCTTTGGGTGCTAATGTCCTATCTGGACAAAAGGATGTAATTACCCTGTAACCAGTTCAGCTCAAAGCAGAATTTTTTTTTAAAAAAAAAAGAGCTACATGACTGCTGGTGAGGGAGAGTTGATCTTCTTTAAGGGGGTGACTCTAGTTAGGCGGACTAGACTCCAGTGGATGAACGCACACCGAGGGACATCTGGGTACACAAACTTGACTGGATAGACCTTAACATATGAGAAAATGCATGAAATCTGATGGGGGGGCTATTGGGGGTGAGGATGGGGGTGTCTAAATGTGATTAAGATGTACTGTATGGGGCCGGGTGAGGTGGCGCATGCCTTTAATCCCAGAACTTGGGAGGGAGAGGCAGGTGGATCTCTGTCAGTTCAAGGCTGGCCTGGTCTACATAGTGAGTTCCAGGACAGCTGGGGCTACAGGGAGACCCTGTCTCAAAAAAGACCCCCCCCAAAAAAGAGGTATTGTATGGGGGGCTGTAGAGATGGCTCAGCGGTTAAGAGCACTGACTGCTCTTTCATAGGACCCAGGTTTGATTCCCAGCACCCACATGGCAGCTACAAACCATCTTTAATGCCGGTTCCAGGGGAATCCAAAGCCCTCTTCTGACCTCTGTGGCATTGCACGACACAAGTGCACTCACATACATGCAGGCAGTACACTCATACACAAAATAAAAATAATAAAATATTTTTAAAAAGATGTATGAAATGCACAAAAATTAAATAAAATATACATTGAGGGAAAAAAGATATACAATATCTGAGGCTGGAAAAATCAAGAAACCAAGTTATGTGTGAAAAGAGCGTTATTTAAGTTTGCAGCCCTGGTATGTGTACAGTGTTCTCTGCTGTGGGAAGGATATGACATTCAAGTTACAAATTGCATTTCATTTCTTACCTATTTAAATCTCCTACCTTATTACATATTTTTATTGATTCCAGAATTTCATATAATGTATTCTAATCACTTTCAGACCCCTCCCCTCTCTCCAGTCCCTCCCCAACACCGCCCCAGGTTTCATTCACTGCCCCACTATTATCTAGCCTTTTATTTCATTTATTTGTTTATTTAATTTTGCTTTTTAAAGGCTTATTCTAATCTATACTTCCCAAGTGCTCCTGGGTATGGGTTCATGCCCTGGAGTTGGTAAACTTACCAGTAAGGAAAACTAACTCTTCCTTTCTCAGCATCCATCAGTTGCCAGTAGATTCTCAACTAGGACTGGGACTTCCTGCCTGCCTCCCCCATTCATACTGGGCCCCTCTCTGGCTTTGAGTTGCACAAATCTTGTGCATGCTGTCCTAAGCACCACTGGGTTCATATGTGCTCCTACCCTGTGGTGTCCAGACAACACAGTTTCCTTGTGTTCACCTACCATCTCTGGTTAGAGGAGGCAGAAAGATTGCAAATCTCACAATATCTTAATTGAAACCTGAACAGGAGAGTATTTGGCCATTTGTTTATGGGACAAGAAAGTGATAATCCCTTCAATATTTTATTTTAAAATTTTTTAAATCTGTGCCTCCATAGCTTTGATGCTTTTCAAGCAAAACACTAATTCAGCTGCTGGGTGTGTGTGTGTGTGTGTGTGTGTGTGTGTGTGTGTGTGTGTGTGTGTATGTGTGTGTGTGTCTTGCAAAAGCAACAGTTGGTACTGTAAAATATGCTTTTACCTACTACATGACTCCACAAACATCTCAGATACAAAAACACAAATTCATCTCTAGCAAGTATAGGAGTTCCTCTAATACCTAGTATAACAGCATCTGCATGGGTATTGCTGGCTTAAATTTATGACCCAGGTTCCAATGTAACATCTCACCAAAGCAGCTACCAACCTTTAGTCCTTTCCTAATCACTTCTGATTCAGAAATAGCACCCACATAATGATCTCTGCTCATTTGTAAGCTTGTGATGGTACTAATTTATTTTAATCTAATGCATGTTTAATGAGATAAAATTATATTTTCATTAATTCTACACATACTATTCCATAAACCTTCTCTTTAGACATTGATCTAGGTTTGATGAAGATTCAATTAACAATTGCTTTGAGGGTCTTAAAGTTTGGAGTTCATTTGTTCTTCAAAGTTAAATCCTTCTGATAAACATTAGTCTCTTGAGCCCCCCTATTTAGTTTCCAAAGACAGTCACAAATAATGAAACTTTTATTTGGCCCCATGGCATGGATACTACAGCAGCTCAGGAATAATGGCAATCAGTTACTGTCCAAAAGACACAGAGAAAAGGCAAATGCTTATTTCATCTGAGCCTTAGAGCAATGCTATTATTCTAGGTTAATCTAAAGTAAGCTAGATTTGGTCTCCAGATATTCAATAAAGTCCCAAACATGACTCATCCTCCAAAGAACCCATGCCATGAATGGGAATAAGATAACAAAATGATGGAGAAGACAGGAATATTCTAGCAGTGTGAGATAGGAAGACAACAGATGTATATGCATTGTTCAATGTACCCAAGACTGGAAGCATGAGATGTGTGCTAACTATAATTTTTAAGGGAGGAACAGAAAGTATAGGTGAAAAGGAATGAAGAAGTTAGAATTATTACAGGAAATTTAAATTGGCACAAAAGTTTTTAAACTGACACATTATTGTAGAAATTTTGCTGAAAGTACAGAAACCAGTCTCTGTGATTACACATTTTCATTGCCCAGCACTCAATAAGCATTTGGCACTGCTTACTTCCAATGTTTCAAGGAATAGTCACGGAGACAAAAGTAATTACCTTCCTGGCAGTATTTAAAGCTTCTCAGTTTGAACAGCTGTTTCTGGTCTATGAAGATACACTTTATCTGAACAGAACACACTTAAGTTTACTCAGGAAAAAAGGAAAGCAAGAAACACATACCTGTGCATGCCTGCTCTTAGCGAGGCAGAGTAACGCCAGTCAGGGTTGGGCTGTCGTGGCTGCAAAAATCACAGAAGGAGTTTTCTGTTAAAATGGCAAAACAATGTTCTCCAAGGCTACTGTTAATTAATTAGTTGTTCCTTAAATATTTTCAGGCATTTAATAAGAAATACCAAATGGGACATTTCATATTTGAGAGAGAGAGAGAGAGAGAGAGAGAGAGAGAGAGACCACTTTAAGAGAAAATTAAATTACCTCACACAGACTGCATGCTAAGGATCCTCATACTTAGGAGTGTTATAAGGGTCAGGTTTGTCTTTGTTTTGCTTAATACAAGTCTTGGGTTCTTCAAACACTAGGACAATTTGTGACAGGAAAATCATTCATTGCTTCTTCCCTCAAACGTCCCATTAAAGGTACACCCTCAATTCTGTAATCTAGCTATAACAAAATATGTGATTACACAGGTTCTGCCAGGCTGGCTGGACTGCAGAGGACTGCAATCTGCTGCTGGCTTTGCAGACTGCAGCATGTTTGACCCAGGATGGATGTGCCTAGTCATAACACCAGCAACTGATAACAGCCTCTTATACTGACTGAAGAGGGACAATAGAGAGAGAAAAACAAACCTCTTCAGAGTTTGACCTTATTTTGCTGCCTAATCCTTCTCATAAAACTGTACTTGTTCCATGATCCTCTCTCAGGGCTTTACCTCCTCATTCAACTACTCTTCACTAGACTGTGTGATTGCTTAGCAGGGAGTAGCTGAAATCCAAGAGGACCCTGATTCATTCTGTACCACCTGTGTACTGGAAAGAGGGTTTTTTTGCCCTCTGTCTATAAACTGTCAGTCTAAAGTAAAAAGGATAAAGAGGAAAATATGGGCACATAAAAACTTGTATGTGTGTTTGTGGATGGGGGTTATGTTCTGGTTAGAAGGTATTCAAATCACTGGAGGCAAAATCAGGCATGATTACAATTAATACAAATTATATTATGAAAAATTTGTGATAGACATTTTTCTAGACATACTTACACAAGCAGAAATTAAAATGGTCTTGTTAATAAATACTAAGGTATAGTTGAGTGGAATGACAAAATTTTCCTTTGGGCTATAATTATTGTATTTAGTAAATATGAAGCTGCACAATACCAATAATTATTTCAAAGTACAAACAATTCTTATTACCATTATTCATGTAGTTCTAGAAGCAGGATAAATTATTTTCATAAACATACTTTTTAATAATAGAGAAGTGATGGGATCAGCATCCCAACTTTCTGGCAGATTTAGGGATGACTAAAAAATGGTCAGATACCCAAAACCAAGGCCCAGAAAAAGTTGTAACTCTAAATACATTGTCTCAAAGTTTACCCCATTCCAACTGTTCTCTCTAGCCCTCTTCTTTTCTGCTGGCAAGATATGAACATGTCATCTGCTTCATCCTTGGTTTCCAAGTTTACAAATGTTATGCTCATTCCATATAAAGCAGCATAAACTATCCACAGACCAAATGAAACAGGTTCCCATTCTCTACAAGTAATATCAGAGGCAACAAAGAGAAAGCATTTGTAAATAACTTTATGAACCGAAAATACAACTAAAATACATTTCCTAATTTGTCTCTTTCCCTCAGCAGTATCAGTATTAACTTGTTCACTGAAAGACTCTTCCTCAAGAAAGATTCTGGCATCTGCTGAGTAACTACTGCCTATTTTCCTATGACTGGGCAACACTCGTGATGAAAATTACTGCAACTTGATCTCTGAAATGAAATCACTAACTCCAATTTGCTGAAAGGCATAATTCTATCAGGATCAAACAGGAAACTCACTTTATTGCACGATTTCACATCCTCAACAAACACATTTAATTTGTCATGCTGCTATTTTCAATAACAGTCCATCAGCAACAACATACTTCTCAGATTCATTTTCCAGAATCATAGTTATGAGAATTCTTATGGCAATAAGATTGGACAGGGGAAGGGAAAAGAGGGGAGTAATGAGTTCGTTTTAATTAGCCATTCAATACTAGACAATGGAATAAGCACTTTTATCCTAATTCTTTATCAGACCATAAATTATATGAACCTCGTTTTATCTATTTTGCTTCTAAGACAGACAAATACCCTCAACCATTCATGAATGTAGAACTATATCCTTGGAACCTAGAAGGGTTCTGATATTTGATAGGTTTTTAGAATGTTTTTAAAATATTTACATTTATATGTATGAATGTTTTGCCTGCATGTAAGTGTACCACATGCATGCCATGCCCAAGGAGGCCAGAAGAGGACGCAGAATCCCCTGGAACTGGAGTTACATATGATTGTTAGCAACCATGTGGGTGCTGGGAAACGAACTCCAGTCCTTTAGAAGAACAGCAAGTGCTCTTAATCTCTGAGGTATCTCTCCATCCCCTAGAATGTTTTTAAATAAATGAATTATCACACAAGGTCAATGTCATTCCATTTAAATTATAAAAATGAGAGCTCTATAAAGGCATTAAAATTTGTCTGATTGGTGAATTCAGCTGATAGTTAGATATATCATTACTTCCAAGATCCTAGATATTGATTTATTTTCAAACAGTGCAAAATTGAAAGCAATAAAAATATATCCAAAACTTGGTCAAATTTGGAAAGAGTTCAAGTTGAAATGCTGACCACTGATACATCTGATATAAGACGTTTATTAAGGCCTTGGAATATCTATGATTATTTTGCTCTAAAATATTTGAATGTTACATATCAGAATATACTAAATTTATTCTTTATATATAAATATTAGGGGGTTGTATGCTTGTTTAAGACAGGGTATCAAGCAGCCCAGGTTGGCTCAAACTCACTATGCCAAGGCTAGCCTTGAACTCTTGATTCTCCTGCCTCTATCTGCCAACTTCTGAGATTACAGACATGCACCATTACTCCTTGCCTATGCTGAATTTCTGCTGGTGAAGTAATCCAATATTTCTTGTTGTTTTAAAGCTTGGTGTTTTGGTACAATAATAGTTACTGAACTCCAGATGTAGAAAAAACTCAATTAGATAATCCACATGAATGATATAATATTATTAAAGAACAAGAGTCAACTTGAGTTCCTGCTAAAATTATAGCAAAAGTTTAATTTATCCTGTTGTGGCCTTATTTGTGATATATGCCATAGGATATCTGAGCTACAGAAGGATGAATCACTTCTTCTAAGATTTAAAGCAAAACAGATTTAAAATATCCTATGTTATTCATAAACTCACATGAACACTGAGTGAACTAATATGCTGTCTTGTTACCAGGAAAATCTCTGTTGAATTTGTCAATAAACTGCTCTCTGAAACCTAAAACTAAATGGAATATTTTCTTTTCCCTCCTAATAAGACTCTATTCAGAAGGTATCTGCAGCCAGTGTTTCATAGTGCTATCTTATGAACACTGGTATGAACGGTGGCAGGCAGAATGCGAAGACAGCCCCCAAATCCCCACATACAGTGTATATGCTCTGCACATTCTCAAGGCTGGAAATGTGGTGGATTTATTCCTATAATTATGTTTGCATGGCTCAGTTGCCTATAAGAAAGGGAGATTATTTAAGTAGGACTAATCTAATCACAGGAGCCTTTTAAATCCAAGGCTAGAAGTCAGAGACACCAGTCAGAGAGATGTGAAGCATGAGAGCGAGTCTACATGACAGGAGATTTTCTACAGCCAGTCCTAAAGATGGAGCGAGCACTAGGGCAAGACCTAAGAAGAACTGAGAACTGAGCTGAGAGTGACACCCTGCTCAGCCCCAGCCATGCAAACACAGGCTTCCATCCCCAAGGAAATGAACTCTGTCAACAATTTGAATGAACTTCAAAGTAGATTCTTCCCCAGAATCTCCAAATGAGTACCCAGCCCCCAAACCATGCTGATTTTAGCCCTGTGAAAACATGAGTATAAAACTCAAACACTCAGCGTGTGAACTGTGAGACACCACCAGTTCATGATAACGTGCTACAAAGAATAGAAAAGGAATGCATTAAGGCAAAACAGAAATATAACACTGAAAATAATCATTGACTGTAGTACATACTGGTCTTTCAGTATATCAATTTTTTTTTTTAAAAAAAAGGATAGATGAGGATTCCGGGTGAAATATTTTCCTCTGAGAACAATCATTCACAACTCTAATCTACAGAGAAAGAAAGTAAAATAAACCTGACTTTAAAATATATATATAATAGTTCCAGTTCAACAGAAAGCACTAGGTCAGCTTATTCTGGATGCACAGCTTGCTAGCACAGCAGCTACTCTCTTACTCAGGGCTGCACCTTCCTGGAGCCCAGAGCTCTGACCCAACAAGGCCACATAGAAACTAACATTTCTCTTCACCTTTGCAATGCCAGATATTTCTTTGTATGTGTCAAATTCAAATTTATGAATGGAAAAAACTTGCATAATTTTTAAGTTACCAGATTTAAAACATTGCTAAAGAGTTCTCTTGACCAGTAATTTTTGAAGTCATGACAATAGATTATACTTTTCAAAATACTATATTAATCATGTAAGTTTATGTCCATAATACGCATGGAAATACTGATCCAAGTGAGGTTCTATAGAAGTCACATTTAAAAATACCTGCGTGGCCCAGTGATTAAAAGCACTGACTACCCTTGCAGAGGACTGGGGTTCAGTTCCCCACATGGCAGCTAACAATAGTCTACAGCTCCAGTTCCAGGGGATCAATGCCTTCTTCTGGCCTCCTTTGGCACTGCACACATGTGGTACACTTATATACATGTAGACAGAACATTCATATACATAAAATTTAAAAAAAACAGCTGTAATAATAGAATTCGTGTGACATGGAGGTAGAATGAGGGCTTCCTGGAGGGAGGAAGGGAACCAGTGAAGAGGGGAGCCTACAAAAGCAATTTATGAAAATGCCATAATGAAACCTATTGTTTTGTATGATAATTTTTAAAAATTAGGAAAAAACTAAAATTCTATCAAATTCTGCTAAACTCTTAGGGTTGGTCACAGCAAATTTTTCTCAAATATTTGAAAACTGGCATCATTCTGACCTCTCATTGAGAGCAAAAACTGGTATCCAACCAAGGCAAGTATCCAGAACTGACTCTGCTATTCTGTCAAGCAGAAAGCATGCCAACAGTGTTTAATGTGCCAAGCTGTGTCCCTGCAGAGTGTTCTGAGTAAGACCAGATGCCCATGTGATAGCTCACTCTTGGGTCAGAGGAAAGGGTAGGTCAATGACAATCAAGTCACAATAAACAGATTTCTTCATCAGTCAGGATATGCATAAGATAAGGAGACAGAGGAGAACACAGCAATCATTCCTTTGGCTCAGCTGTCAGCAGAAAAGAATCGAGGAAGTCATTCAAAAAAAACATTGTAGTATCAGACCAAACACAATAAACTGTTTCTCAGAAAGACAACCCTATAATCCATATGAAAATGGCAAAACCACAATAGTGTCAGCATGCATAAGACTCATGAAAACTCAAGCAGACTAAAACCCAGCACAGGTAGGGCGTGGTGGTGCACGCCTTTAATCCCAGCACTCAGGAGGCAGAGGCAGACAGATCTCTAGGAGATCAAGGCCAGCCTGGTCTACATAATGAGTTCCAGGCCAGCTGGGGCTACAAGGAGACCCTGTCTCAAAAAGCTAAAAAAAAGAAAGAAAGAAAGAAAAAGAAAAAAACCAAATAACAACAGCAACAACAAAAAAACCCAAAACCCCAAACCAAACAAACAAAAAACCCAGCACAGAACCGTGGAAATGAACAGCAGGACCCAATCTTAGTCGAAGAATTATTGGCAGCTAATTATTGCTGGGTGAGGAAGAGTTGATCCTCTTAAAGGCAGGGACTCTAGATAGGCTGACTAGACCTCAGTGGATGAACTTGCACTGAGGGATGTCTGGGGACACAAACTGGACATGATAGGCCTTAACACAAATCACAAAATTCCAGTGGTGGTGGGGGCAAGGGGGTATGCTATGGGAGGGTACCAATGGGGCAGGGGGTATAAAGTTGATTAAGATGTTCTGTATGAAATAAAAAATTCAATAAATTTTTTACCAGCCTGGTCTACATAGTGAGTTCAGGACAGCTGGGGCTACAGGGAAACCCTGTCTCGAAAAGACCAAAAAAGAAAAGAAAAGAAAATGGCAAAACTAAACATTCCTGCTGACTAAAATTTAGCCATCAAAGATGAAATACTAGAAGGGAAGTTCAGAAACAAAGTTTCTTGGTCTTATTTAGTGTGATAACATATGCCTATAATCTCAGCACTCAGGAAGCAGAGGCAAGAGGATAAGGAATTCAAGGTCATCCTCAACTACATAATGAGTTTGAGGCCAGTCTGGGCCATATGAGATCCTGCCTCAAAAATAAGTCTTTGTCTATTCTGACCATTGTACAATATTTTTAAAAAATATACCACCATGTTACTGTACATTGAGTGCAAGCTTTGTTCCAGGACAGAGCCACTAGATAGCAAAATCAGGCCTTAGAGGAAGTAAGTTTGGTACCACTAAAAAGACACTTAACTGTTTCAGATCCCTGCTCTGGATCTAAAATGAATACACACATACAGTGGCAGAAATAACGAAGACTTTGTAGCTACACATTATTTCAATATATATAAAAGTGAATGCAAGCCTAAATCTCTCTGCTATTCCTTTGTGAGGTGCAGCTGAACAAATGACTCATCAGCAATCAATCCTAGGATCAGTCTGTGGTCATGGAGACTCTAAAGAGATGTCACCTACTTTCACTATCACGTCTTCAGCAAAGCCCTGTTGCCAAAAAACCTTCATAGCACAGGAAGTAAACAACAATAACAAAACCAGTAAAATCTACCAAAAGATTAGGGTCTGGCACTAAATTCTGAGGTATAATAATCAACAAAAGAAGGCCCAGTGAAAGAACAGAGATGAAAGATCTTAGTAAGCTTTGCACATAGTAAAGCAAGATATAAATAAACATTAGTTGGTAGTCTATTTTGTCTGACTATCCCATGTCAAATTGGGATTTCTGTCTACTCCTATTATTAAAAAAATAGACTTTAGTCAGACATGACTTAAAACACCACTAGCAGTGTGACTGTTTATGTTATGTAACCTCTCTGATTACAGTTGGTAAATGTTTGTTTAAGACGTATAAGAAATGAAATCACTCATACACACGTTGCAAAGGACAGCACTTTTTGTATAGAAGAGTAATCACTGAGTGAAAATTCCTTTACTCTTCCTTTCCAATCTCCATCTAATTTTAATGTTGGCGCATGGTATTAACTGCGTCCCAGCATCCTCCTACCATCTGTAGTAACTAGGTAAGGAAAGAGAAAGCCCAACTTGGGAAAGTCAGTTTGACCTAGCAATGATGAATTTCAAAGTGGAGTGATTTTTGTTGCCACTTTGCCATGCTATAACAATACGACTCACTTTTTCTCCATAACTGCAATAATGTCAGGAGTTATAGATCTTGGGACCCTTCACTGAATTTTGAGAGCTGTCTAGCAGATATTATTTGCCTTTATTAAATTCATGCACTTTCCTAGCAAAATCTCACAAGAGCAATCACGTTCTGACACAATTTTCTCCCTAGATTAAAGGTTTGTGTACCACAGCAACTATGAGCATACAGGTCAGTGTAAGACAGCAATAGGTTACATATCAAGTCTCCCCGAGCTTTGAGTCAGAAGAGAGAGGATAAGCATGTTCTCTTTCTGGGCTTCCAGTGCACATCTGGCAGCAAAGCTGAGCCTCACTTGGCTTGCTCTCCATGCCTTTTCACCACCTGCAACCTGCCCTAGTCCCAAAGGGCTTAACCGGAACTTGTTAAGTAAATGTCTATAGCATCCTTATTTAAAGACAAACCATTTTACAAACTTCCAAAAGCCATGATCTAAGAATTTTGGAAATTCTTTGCTCTCTCACATCCCTCTGACTTTTTTTCCTCCTGAATCTTAATCTGCAATCTGCCTCCCATGGCTACTCAGTATTCACTACCTTCAGGCTCTTCTGATAAGTGAATAATACCCATGGGAAAATAAAAAAAAAAACCAAACATAATCTACTCACAACCAAGAATGGAAATTCTGTGCTTATGCACTACTCTCAAGACTGTCACGAACTTAGAATGTGACAATACAGACATTAATTAATCACAGCAATATGCTAATGCAAAAAAATCACAAAAATATAGGAGAAATAAATATTAATTCATTTTGTGCTAACTCTAAAAAGCCTAACTCCAAAGTAGTTATTTAGAAAGAAAAATTATCACTCTCTTTACAGGACAGAATTTTGGCTTCAAAATCCAAGCAAAGGTGTACTATCCAAGCATACCCACACATTAATGTAGTTTTCACTAATTTCTATACATTCTTCATAGTAATGTGCAATCTGGCCTTATGACTACTTAAAACTCAAAACTAGTACATCTACTAACATCTGTCTTCATGTAAAGTCAATCATCCACTTCCCAAGCCTTCTGTGCCTACTGCATACCAAATTTCAGATGCAGTAAATGAACATATGTTTTGGAAGTATTGTCATTTAACTTAAAGACATGAGAGTCTTGAAAAGCCTACATTACATTTCATCAAGCACAGAAATTGTCAACAAGGAATTGGAAGATTATGGACTACATTTAAAGTAAATGCAGAGGACATCATCTTAAAATTAATTCAGACTATGCCAAGAAAGGTGGGTAGGCCTGAGTTCTTTTCCTCTTATTCCCCAATTAGCTTGTCCTGGCTTTCACCATCCTCACATATCCCTTCCCTACTCTTTCTATCTCTCTCACCCAACTAGACAAATATGGACTTTTATTCTGTCTTACTACCATGCGTTTCCTCTGATAGCCCTCTAGAAGAGCAACCACAGCAAACTCCAGCTTCAGAGTGAGATGCAGGCTGTTTCTCACCCTCAACATGAATTTCCAATTATCCCATTAGTCTAGCACAATTATTCGAGATATTAACTGGATAATTTGCACTGTGGACAGTCCAAGATATAGACAGTAACTGTATGTGGAGAGTAACTAGGACAGCCCAGGGGGTCTCAGAGCTGATTTATGAAGAAAAAGAAAGCCAAAAGCAATTTCCCTGTAGATGACAGAGCAGAGGCCTTTTCTCCTTGAATCTCATAATATCACTTCTTAGTACATAACTGGTATCCCCAGGCCTGTTCTATTTCTACAGAGCTGTGCTCGAACCTAAAATACATATGGCAAATCCTCACTTCTCAAACAATTTTATGGCTAATTCTTCACACATATCAAAAGAAAATGGCAAGTAAAATAGGTTTCTAGTGCCTATTTTCTAGAGAGTAAATAGCAGATCACAATAATATCAGAGATGTTATTAATATCCAGTTTACCAGATAGACCTTGTTGGTGTTAACACATCAGCAACGCCAACCACATGGTATTGAGGGGAAGGACATGTGAAAAAAAATGCATGGCTTTCTAGAAAACACCTTGAACACTACCTCACCTCATTTTGAGAAACAGCTTCATTTTTTAGGATAATCAGGTTCCCAGCACTCTGCCCACTTTGGCCTGTGAGGTGCCTGCTGTCAGTCACAGCTGCTTGGGCTGCCCCAGGTCCCGGTCCTGTTTGGGCCCCTGTGTTGTAAAACATGAAAGTATCACTCCCTGAGCCAGCTGTCAGGCAGGCTTTGTAGCAGTAGGTCTTGGTAAGGGAGCCATTCCCTCGAACCTCAATGAAGTGAGGCTGTACTTTGAGGCCATGTGGTATCCTGGCCTCAATATTGTTATTGGCCTGTTTGTACAGTTCTGCAGGGCACCGCTCCCTCACTCCACAGAAGCCTCCACAGCATGCAGTGCCATAAGCAGTGTAGCGGCAGCACTTGATGATGCTCAAAACAATGATTGTCAAAAGAAATATAAAAGACACTGTGCTTAATGCTATTATCAGATAAAGTGTAATTTCAGAGTATGTCCGAGGGCTCTTTATATGTCTCTGAGTGTCAGGGAGCATTTTCGAAACCCTGTCCACCACAGCAACTGTAATGGCCACAGTGGCTGATAGCGATGGCTCTCCATTGTCACGGACAACCACAGTTAGGTTGAAAGTGGTACCACTCTCGTCTCCTATCTTCCTGGTAGTCCTAATTTCTCCCGTGTGCAATTCTACTTTAAAGAGGTCCAAGTCAGAAGTTTGGGCTAGATGGTAAAAGAGCCAGGCGTTTTGCCCAGAGTCTGAATCCATGGCTATAACTTTGGTGACCAGGTAGCCAGCAGGGGCAGCTCGAGGCACCATCTCAATGGCTGCTGATGAATTGGTTGAGGTAGGGTACAGAATATGAGGGGCATGATCATTCATGTCCACCACATACACATTGGCGGTCACAGTGCTGCTCAGCGGTGGACTCCCCTTGTCCTGGGCCTCCACAGTCACAAAAAACTCTCGAAATTTCTCATAGTCAAAGGAGTTGACAGCATAAAGGCTGCCACTGGCACTGTTGATGGAGACATAGGAGGTGACCGGCAGCCCTTGAATCTCCCTATCTAGGAGTGAGTAGGTCACCTCTGCGTTCTCCTTTTCATCTGGGTCTGTGGCTTGCACGGTGCAGAGCAACACCCCTGGCAAATTGTTCTCCTGGATGTAGATGGAATAGGAGTCCTTCAGAAAGCTTGGCGGATTATCATTGATGTCAGAAATCTCAATTTTCAGGGTCCTCTGGGATGTGAGTGGCGGTATTCCCCCATCAGTGGCTATCACTGTGATGTTGTAGGCAGCCACACGCTCCCTATCCAGTGGGCCACTCACCACTACTGTGTAGGAGCTTCCAAAGCCATTCAGCCTGAAAGGTAGTGTAGCCTCCAGACCCAGGCTCACTTTCCGGTTGGAACCTGAATCTTGGTCATTCACACTGAGAAGGGCCACAACGGTGTTGGGTGCAGCATCTTCAGGCACTGGGCTATATAAATCCGTGAGCACCACCTCCGGCGCATTGTCATTCACATCCATAATATCCACCAACACCTTGCAGTGACCGGCCATAGGTACTGGACCCCGGTCAGTTGCCTGCACATAGATCTGGTAGGAGGAGGCCTCCTCGTAATCCAGCGCTCCACTTACTCTCACTTCCCCTGTAGTGGCGTCGATGCTGAAGAGTTGCCTCTCCCGGTCTGACGTGTAGCTGCTCAGCGAGTACCTGAGCTCACCATTGGAACCCTCATCCGGGTCCGAGGCATTCAACTTCACTACTAATGTGCCTGGGGGAGCATCCTCCCGCAGTTGGACGCGGTAAGTGGATTGGTCAAAGGCAGGAGAATTGTCATTAGTGTCGAGGACTCGAACAGAGATCTGCGCTGTGCCTGAGCGGGCTGGGATGCCCCCGTCCACCGCGGTGAGAACCAAGTGGTGCAAGGCTGCCTGCTCACGGTCTAGGCCCTTTCGCAGCACCAGCTCCAGCACCTTGCTATTCTCCTGAAGGGGTTTAAGGTCCAACTCAAAGTGCTCGCTGGGGCTGAGCTCGTAGGTCTGCACTGAGTTGGTGCCCACGTCTGGGTCCTGTGCGCTCTCTATGTGAAACCGCGCTCCAGGTGCAACGGATTCGCTTACCTGAAGCTGGTAGTCCGGCCGCGGGAAGCGTGGAGAATTATCGTTAATGTCCAGTACCTCCACCTCAACGGCGCTCACGGCCACCGGGTTGTGCGCCAGCACTTCCAAGCTGAGCAGGCAGCGAGGCCGCTGCTCACACAGTGCCTCGCGATCAATACGTTCATTGACGAAGAGCGCACCACTGGTCAAGTCCAGCTCCAGGTAGCGCGGGCTGGGCGCACCCAGATGGTTGATGCGCAGGCAGCCGGGCCCCAAGCGCCGCAGCTCCAGCCCCAACGCTCTCGCCACGTTGCCAACGAGCGCGCCGGGGGTCTGCTCCTCAGGCACTGAGTACCTTACCTGGGAGGCCGCTGGGCCTGGCAGCAGCACCAGCAGCACCAGGAAAGAAAGCAGCAGCAGCCAGGGCAGGGGCCGCCGGAGTCGTGGATACTCTGTCGCCCCAGGTCTGGTACCCGCCTGCTCCATAGCCACCGGCCCTGGCAGAGACAGCCGGGCAGGGCTGGAGGCAGCGGCTTGGCGAGCCTGTTCCACGCCGGCCCCGCCTCCGCCTCGGCTCTCGCTCTCCACTACGGCTTACGCGCTAGCAAACGCCTGGGGCCGCTCCCCTCCTAGGCGCTCTCAAGGGCTCCAGGCCCTGGCGCCCCCGCAGACTCCCCATATCCCAGCTCCTCCACTCGCCTCCAGGCCTCAGAGGGTCTCGGTTTTCTGCGTCTGCCGCCGCCGCCGCCGCCGCCGCCGCCGCTCCAAGGGGAGGGAAAAGGCAGCAGAAGGGAGGGGGAGAGGGAGGAGTGCTCCGCGAGTCCAGCTCGGATTCCGCACCGAAGTGGCGGACAGCGACCGCGGACCGCCCAGCCGCTCCGGCTTCTCCAGCCCCATCTCCTTCACAGTGGACCTGCCGAATCCCAGCAGACCGCGGGAACGCGGCCACTCCCTTTCTCCCTGCCCCCATCGTCCTGTTCATCCTAGTCTCCTCGGTCTCCAGCCTGTTTAACGCATCTTGTAAGGCGATTAGCCTGAGAAAAGCAGTTAAGTCACTAAAACTCGGAATATCGGCTCCCCAGGAAAGGATTTCAAAGCGCCATCCAGGAAAATAAACTGCAGGGGACCTGGGCGGCATCTGTAAACAAACGCTGGGGAGGCACTTTGGGCTATTGAGATAGGGGCCGTTTGTTTACCTGACCCCACGTCTTCCCAGGAACATTGCTTAGTACTACAGAAAGCTTTCAACCCCAGGGTCAAAGGGCAAGGGGGTGACAAGTGCCCTCCTCTTCAGGGGAGTAAGCCTAATAATGCAAGCACTCAGTTCTCCCAGCCACGTGCCCTTAACTTTCAGCATGTGCTTTGGCAAATAACCAATATTTCAGTGTTTAAAATTTTCTCTTTAAACAACTGGCTTTGTGATGCTGATCAGCAAAAAAAAAAAAAAAAAAAAAAAAAAAAAAAAAAAGCCCTTATTTGACCTGTTTTGATCACAGTGGGAAAAATTCTGGTAAAATTGTTCAGAGATACTTCCCTCCTGTTTTTCCTAATCTTACATCAAATATTTTTCAATTATCACCCAAGACATTTTCTTTCAAGAGTGATTTTAATTTTTTTCCTTTAATGGATGACAATGTCTTCAAGAGCCTACAAAGCCATTAAATCAGTAGAGTTACTCTTGATCTTCCCAGCCACACTGGAATTTGAACGCCATTAATGCGTAATTACAGAAGAAAGAAAAAGACTGTTGTTATTATTAAGCAAAATGTAGGAGGCTGGGATTTATCTTACAATAGCGACAATTTCAGCAGTTGCAGTTCATCTTCTGTAAATATGAGGGCCTTGCAGCCCCTGCAGCTCTGTGCCCCTCAGACTCTCCTGAAGTTGCTACAGAGGCCACACAGGCAAATTCTCTTCAGTGAACAATGAGGCACAAAGCAGAGGGCACCTTTCTGTGCTGTGTCATGGCCTCTGCTCATTTCTGAACAGTCACTCTTCCCAGCCCTCTCATCTCTCCCACCAAGGCTTTAATCTATTACCCCGTGTGCAAAAACAACTCACAAAATATCCTTTTTCTCCCTCATTTCCCAGTATCCTTGCACTCATAGAGAGCCCCCAGGGTAGCTTTCTAGCTATGGATTGGAACTAAGCCAAAATGATATCTGACATTTGGCATGCTTCCCTCTTTTGAGAGGACAAGTTGAAGGAACAGAAGTTATGATCCTAACACCCAGATTTCAAAGACCAGGGCCAGCATACCCATGCCTTCCACCTACTAAGAGCACTGACTAACAGCATTCCACAACCTACCTGATTTTATTCTAGAAAAACTTGCAGTTTTCCACCTATTGCTGCTGCTTCTTATTTGCCCTCTTGTTCTGTCAGGGGGCAGGGTTTGGAAGCAATTTCCATCAAAATCTATTCCTGTCTCCTTTCTAAGGTCGCTGGCTTCTCCTCTTCTGTCTGCATCCTTCCCAAATATCTCCCAGTAGCTCTGTCTGTTTGCTGTAGTAATTTGATCTCAGGGAGCCTTAATCTCTCAAGTGCACAAATTGTAGACCTGGCCTATGTCCTCACCCATTAGTTATTTCAGAAAACAAATGACTTGTAAGTGGAATCAAGTTATAAGTTGTCAGGAAATGTGACCTTTCCCCTCTCCTCATCTCCTCTAGCCCTCACAGTTGCTGCCACCACTGCCCACAGCTCAGAAACTTAAGGGCACTGGATGTTGATTGTGTATGGCCCTGTGCCCCCCAAAAGATCACAGGGAGAAATGAAAGTGACAGAGGCCTGGAGATGGTCTTTTTTAAATTGAATTTTTGCTGTTTTCATCCAAGATAATTTGCTGGTATTTAGATCCCCTCCCCTATCCACATCTCCCCTTATTTCCCCCTGCCCAATTTAATGTACTCTGCTTTATTTATAAAGTAAGGCCCATAGAGTGTAATTTGTGTCTTCAAAATGTTCTTCAGTGTGGGTTCATCCACTGGAGCTTGATTAACCCATCAAGAGGCCCATCCTTGAAAGAGACTCTCTCTGCCCCTCCCAGCAGCCATTGGTTGCCACAGTTTCTTTAGCTGGGGTTGAGGTTTCTTAGCCACTTCCTCATGTCTGTGCTGGGATTTTGTCTCGTTTGACCTAGTATGGGACTTGTCCATGCTATCTTGGTGATATTTTTCACAGAATCCCCAAGTACCATGCCTCAGAAGAAACAAAACAAAACAAAACAAAATGGAATTTGTCTCTCAGCCATATCATCATCTTTCAGCAAGAGCACCTGCTGAGATGTCCATTTTTGTGTTTCCGAATCCCAAGTTCCAGCTAGTATTTGCTCACTCATTGACCGAGAGGGCAAAGAGCCATCACAATTAGCCTTCTTTTTGGAGACATGTACTAAGAGAATGTACTAAGAGGTGGCATTCTCTGCTTGGCACTACAGTGATTTTCTTTCCCCACTAATGACACTGAGATTCCTGCCAACCTTACTAAATTTTTGGACTGTGATTGCACAGACTGTTGGTAAGTGCCCCTTCTACAGATATTAATGCCAGTGCCTCAGTCATACCATCATGTATTCCTTACTTTGCACATTATAGAATTGCATTTAAAAAGTAGAATGGAACAGCGACTTGGGAACACAGAATTTGTAATTTTTGGAGTTGGTCACATCTCTGCCAAGACTATTCGTGTGGATTTGGACATGAACTTATCCTTCCCTTCAGTTTTCTTATTTTAAATAGAGAAAAATAAATTCCATAAGACTGTTATTATGAATACATGAGCTAATACAGATAAAGTAGTTTGCACAGTGTCTGGGAAGTACAATATTACTGGTGGTGGTAGTGATGTTTATTAAATACAACAATTTATTTACATCAGTTAACACCTTAGCTAATAGTTTATATATGGCATGGCCCCTTAATAAGCATAGACAAGCACCTTGTAATATGACAGTTAAGAAATAAATGATGGTGGGGAAAGGTGAATGTATTCTAAGTTAAGTTTTCCAAGTTTTTATTACCAGTTATTTCCAGAACTTATCCTGTATTTTGAAAATAAAAGGGAGCAGCCCCCCTTTCTATAATCATGGAAAAAGTGCTTCTTTTTTATCTTATGTGTACATGTGTGTCTGTGTGTCTGCTGCCTGTACAAGGGTGCATGTGGAGGCCAAAAGATCCCCTAGAACTAGCGTTGGAGTTACAAATGGTTATGAGCCTCCCCATGTGGGTTCTGGGAACAGAACTCCCATCCTCTGGAAGAACAGCCAGTGCTCTTCTGAGCCATCTCTCTGCCCCAGGAAAAAGTACTTTTGTTATAAGAATTCTTTCAAGAGAGTTGTTTCCCCATAAGAGATTCGTCTTTTAGCATACATAGAGATGTCTCAAAAATCGAGTATGTAGAAGTTCCTAGACATGCTGTCATCTCCAGCACCCCGCATAGAGTCTGGCATGGTGGTGCTCAATTAGCATTATTTGAACAAGAAAAAATTAAAAGTTAGCTTGTGCAATTCTAAACAGAAATAGTCTGTCTTCACTCTCCTTTTCTAAATCTTGTTATGTATTTCAAAGTCCAGCTCAAAATCCACCTAATCTATGAACATGTCCAATCTGAACATAAGGATTTTTTGTTTTCTCTTTCACAGACTATAGACTATGAACATTTTATCATTATTTTACTTGATTTGTTGTTGTTTGAGATAGGGCTTCACAAATCCCAGTCTGACTTCAAACTCACTATGTAGTAGAGGATGCCCTTGAGTTTCTAATCATCCTGCCTTTACTTTCCCAGTGCTGGGATTAAAAAATGTGCAGTACCACATTCAGCTTTTTGTGGTACTAAGCATTGAACCCAGGGCTTCACGCATGCTAAGTAGCACTCTACCAATTGAGTTACACCCCTAAGTTGTGTTCTTCATTTAACTCATCTAAATATTTTGCTATTATCTTCTTCATTGTAAGCAACCTAAAAGCAGAGCCATAAATATATCCCCATCATAGCTTAAGAAACTATATGGACCTCAATAAATGTACATTGCTTCAGGTTTTATTTTTAGCAAATTCAAAAACAACAGCTGCTACAGCTCAGGTATTCCTACTTTGTTGTTTATGCCAAACACACTTTATAAAGGGTCGGGATCAAGAGCATGCAGTGGTTTGACTGTGTGTTTCGTCCTTTAAAACTTTCAAAGAAATGAAATACCTTATTTCAAACTGAGAGAATTCAATCCCACTAACAAAGTTGCTGTACCTAAGAAAGGTTCTACTCAAAAGTTATACATTATCCCTCTTTCCTTTTATAGCAAAATTAGAATTATAATAGTATTTGGAAGTGGGTGTTTTTTTCACAGAATCTCATGTAGTCCAGGCTAGCTTCCAACATGCTATGTAGCTGCCTACCTCTACCTCCCAAATGCTGGGATTATAGGTGGGTGCTACCACACCTAGTGGAGCTATATAAAAAAAAACTTTTAGGTAATTTTATTAATTAATGTTTTCTCTTTTGCAAGTACTTTACTTTTTGTTTTTGTTTTGTTGGGTCAGGATTACATGTAGCCCAGTCTTGCCTTAAACTCTCTTTGTTACCCAGAAGGACTTAAGCCATCATGCCTGGCTACATATTAAAATTATCAGTCATAAAATAAAGACACTTCTTGCTTGTAATTAATAAAAAGTGAGATGAGGAGGGAGGATCCAAAAAACTAGTAATTATGTTGGTTTATCCCTGTGCTAGACAATAACTTTGAAATAGTATCCCTCAACTATATTTCTTACTTATATTTGTAAAATACATCTCCCATGAGATCATTGAGCACAGCAGCAAAAACCAATCACAGCAAAATTAGGACTGTGAGAAAAATGCTTACACTCACAAAATTCTTCTAATTCACATAAATGTTCCCAACTCTCTTATTATTACTTTCAGTAACCAAA